TATTTAGCTAGCTGTTTTAAATATTTTGAGTTAGCGAAGTCAGTTTTGTCTGACTGGCCATATTTCACGAGCTGTTTTAAATATTTTGAGTTAGCGAAGTCAGTTTGGTCTGACTGGCCATATTTCACTAGCTGTTTTAAATACTTTGAGTTAGCGAAGTCAGTTTTGTCTGACTGGCCATATTTCACTAGCTGTTTTAAATATTTTGGGTTAGCGAAGTCAGTTTGGTCTGACTGGCCATATCTCACTAGCTGTTTTAAATATTTTCAGTTAGCGAAGTCAGTTTGGTCTGACTGGCCATATTTCACGAGCTGTTTTAAATATTTTGAGTTAGCGAAGTCAGTTTTGTCTGACTGGCCATATTTCACTAGCTGTTTTAAATATTTTGAGTTAGCGAAGTCAGTTTAGTCTGACTGGCCATATTTAGCTAGCTGTTTTAAATATTTTGAGTTAGCGAAGTCAGTTTGGTCTGACTGGCCATATTTCACTAGCTGTTTTAAATATTTTGGGTTAGCGAAGTCAGTTTGGTCTGACTGGCCATATCGCACTAGCTGTTTTAAATATTTTCAGTTAGCGAAGTCAGTTTTGTCTGACTGGCCATATTTAGCTAGCTGTTTTAAATATTTTGAGTTAGCGAAGTCAGTTTGGTCTGACTGGCCATATTTCACGAGCTGTTTTAAATATTTTGAGTTAGCGAAGTCAGTTTGGTCTGACTGGCCATATTTAGCTAGCTGTTTTAAATATTTTGAGTTAGCGAAGTCAGTTTGGTCTGACTGGCCATATTTAGCTAGCTGTTTTAAATATTTTGAGTTAGCGAAGTCAGTTTTGTCTGACTGGCCATATTTCACTAGCTGTTTTAAATATTTTGAGTTAGCGAAGTCAGTTTGGTCTGACTGGCCATATTTAGCTAGCTGTTTTAAATATTTTGAGTTAGCGAAGTCAGTTTAGTCTGACTGGCCATATTTCACTAGCTGTTTTAAATATTTTGAGTTAGCGAAGTCAGTTTGGTCTGACTGGCCATATTTAGCTAGCTGTTTTAAATATGTTGAGTTAGCGAAGTAAGTTTGGTCTAACTGACCATATTTAGCTAGCTGTTTTAAATATTTTGAGTTAGCGAAGTCAGTTTGGTCTGACTGGCCATATTTAGCTAGCTGTTTTAAATATTTTGAGTTAGCGAAGTAAGTTTGGTCTGACTGACCATATTTAGCTAGCTGTTTTAAATATTTTGAGTTAGCGAAGTCAGTTTGGTCTGACTGACCATGTTTAGCTAGCTGTTTTAAATATTTTGAGTTAGCGAAGTCAGTTTGGTCTGACTGGCCATATTTCACTAGCTGTTTTAAATATTTTGGGTTAGCGAAGTCAGTTTGGTCTGACTGGCCATATCTCACTAGCTGTTTTAAATATTTTCAGTTAGCGAAGTCAGTTTGGTCTGACTGGCCATATTTAGCTAGCTGTTTTAAATATTTTGAGTTAGCGAAGTCAGTTTGGTCTGACTGGCCATATTTCACGAGCTGTTTTAAATA